TAAAACAAACATTTTATAAAATCTACCCCACCCTTTCTCTATATATAAAACAACCTTGTTAATTTATAATTATATATATATAGGGTAGGGTAGTAATTTTTATAAAATGTTTGTTTAAGTCAATTTTCTACGGAAGCCCATTTAGGACCTATCAAAAAATATTTTGATTTCGATATACCGTGTTGTCGAATTTGTTATAACGAATTTAATTCGTTATAACAGTTTCTTTGAATTTGTTATAATGAATTTAAACTGTTATAACAAATTTATTGAATTCGTTATAACGAATTCAAAAAATTGTTATAACGAATTTTATTCGTTATAACGAATTTTATTCGTTATAGCGAATTTTATTCGTTATAACGAATTTTGAACTTGTTGTAACAAATTAAATTCGTTAAAACAAATTTTGAAACTATATATATATATATATATAGATAGATTTATTACGAATTAAATTCGTTAAAACGAATTCTCTAATTTGTTATAACGATTTAAATTCGTTAAAACGAATTCGACAAATCGAACGTTATATCGAATTCATATTTTTCTATAGGCCCTGATTGATGAATTTGATTTAACGAATTTAATTCGTTATAACAAATTTTTGAATTCGTTATAACGAATTAAACTTGTTATAATAAATTTTAGAATTCGTTTAAACGAATTTAATTCGTTATAACAAATTTTTGAATGCGTTATAACGAATTCAACGAATTTCATAACAGATTAAATTCGTTATATAACGAATTCAAAGAAATTGTTATAACGAATTAAATTCGTTATAACAAATTCTACAATTCGTTATATCGAATTCGAAAATATTTTTTGATAGGTCCTAAATGGGCTTCCGTAATTTTCCGAATTGATTATATAGAGATTAAATCACAAATGAGTCTCCATATATAATTCATGAGAAAAAAGAACAGGCCCGGGGGTCTATATCGGGGGGGGGGGGGGGGGGGGGTCCTGTCCTCGAGCACCTAGCTGTGGTTTATTCACCCAAGAACATATTTGACCGGGATCTACATGTATTCACTCAGATATTGGGTCTGTTTGTCCAAGTATAAACAAAGCATATGCTATACATGTATAAAAATTGTTGGGGATTGCACAAATTTACAACAATTTTTTTTTAGTAGAACAAGAGGCCTAAGGGCCTTAACGGTCACCTGAGTATAATTCAACCCTGTAAAGGATCAATAAATGACAATTAATTATATTATATAATAAAACAAAATAAACTGGTAGATGAATGTTGCTAAAAAATAATAGAAATAGAATAATCAGGGATCAATTAAATAGTTCATCTGGTAATCAGCAAACACTCAAAAAGTAGATTTACTTACTTGCCTATATATGTTCACTCTATCTCCACCACCAATTAAACTTATAAAAACACTTTCAGTGCATAATAAACAATTATATACACCCTGCAAAATCTAAATGCCACTAGCTGGCCTCTCTTGCTCTTTGAATAACATTTAATGGACAAAAATAAGGTATTTTGGTCTCAATTTTATACCCCCGTTATCGAAGATTCGGGGGCATATAGTTTTTGCCCTGTCCGCCCGTCTGTCTGTCTGTCTGTTTGTCCGCAAAAACTTTAACCTTGCCCATAACTTTTGATTGGTTAGAGCTATGGTTTTCATATTTCACATGTGTATTCCTTGTGACAAGACCTTTCTTTGTGTACCATCATATTTTACCTTTTGACCTTGACCTTGGAGTTTGACCAACTTTTGCAAATTTTATTGAGACTTTAAAATTGACCATAACTTTTGAACACTTAAAGCTTGGGCTTTCAAACTTAGTAAGTGTATTCCTTGTGAGAAGGCCTTCCTTTGGATTCCAACATCTTTGACCCTTTGACCTTGAACTTGGAGTTTGACCTACTGTTGAAAAAACTTTAACCTTGGCCATAACTTTTGAATAGTTTGAGCTAGGTCTTTCTTGCTTTGCATGTGTACTCCTTGTGACAAGACCTTTCTTTGCATACCAACAATTTTGACCTTTTGACCTTGGAGTTTGACCTACTTCAATTTTGAAAAATTTAACCTTGGCCATAACTTTTGAACAGTTAGGGCTACGGTTTTCATACTTCACATATGCATTCCTTATGAGAAGACTTTCCTTTAGATATCAACAACTTTGACCCTTTGACCTTGACCTTGGAGTTTGACCTACTTTTGAAAAACTTTAACCTTGGCCATAACTTTTGAACAGTTGGTGTTAAGGCTTTCATACTTCACATATGCATTCCTTGTGACAAGACCTCTCTTTAGATACCAACAACTCTTACCCTTTGACCTTGACCTTGAACTTTGACCTACTTTTAGAAATTTTTAACATTGATTGGCCATAATATTTGAACATTTGGTTCTAGGGCTTTCACATTTCACGATCATGTGTATCACTTGTGACAAGAACTTTCTTTGGGCACCATTTGACCTTGACCTTGCCGTTTTTGAAAAAACTTTAACCTTCGCCATAACTTTTCAACGGTTTGTACTAGGGCTTTCATATTTCACAGATATATTCCTCGAGACAAGACCTTTCTTTGGGTACCAACATTTTTGATTTCTTGACTTGGAGTTTGACTTGCATTCAAGAAACTTTAACCTTCGCCATAAGCTGCCATACGGGGGCATCAGTGTTTCACAAACACATCTTGTTACTCATCTATCACATGTACATGTATTTTAAAGTCTACCTGACCATTAATTTTATGTTATACATTAATTCTTATATCATTCTTCTATTGAATATTGACCTATCAACTACATTATTTACAGTGATTAAATATTATAGGTGAGTAAAAACGGGGGGGGGGGGGGGGTCTCTTAAAATAGATACAAAGTTTCCCTACATAAAGACACATGATTAGCACAAGAACTCCCGACTCAGTGGTCAAGAATTCACAAATCTGTTAAAAACAAAAACAAAAAACAAAAACAAAAACACCCTTGCTCAATACTCTGCAAAACATATCTAGGAGCACAAGGATTTTCAAAGAATTACTGAATAATCATTATGTGATCAATAGAGCCCCGCCCTAACACAAGAACTCGTGACCAAGGGGCCATGAATTTCACAATTTTTGGAAAAGTAAGCCCTGCACAGAATTTCAAAGAATTAATGCATTTTCACTACATAATCAATTATAGAGCCTTGCCCTACACCATACATGTACAGAGTGTAACTCCTGGACCCAGGGGTAATAAATTTCACAATTTTAGAAGAGACACCCTTACTCATCATTGCCATGCACTAAGTTTGTATGCGAAATACCCAGGAGCAGAGATTTCCGAAGAATTATTGCATTCTCAATATATATACAAGTAATCAAAAGAGCCCTGGTGTATTAAACCAGAACCCCTTACCCTGGTGTCATGAATTTCACAATTTTGGAAGAGGCATTCTTGTTCATCATGAAAATACATTTATCTCCTAAATACCTAGGAGCAAAAAAGATTTTTCAATTAATGAATTTTCACTAAGTACTTAATAGAGCCTCGCCCTATCACAAGAACACTTGACTAATGGATCATGACTCAAAACTGTAGAAGAAGCATTAATACTCATCATGATATCCATGTACTTGGTCTGTCTGCAAAATATACTGGGTGGGGGCTTATAGCCCCATCCACCAATACCAAGGGACTATGAAATTCACATTTCTCCTTCTCTCATAGATGCTATGTGCAAAAATTGGTTGAATGGTTTCTGAGAAGAATCTGAAAGTGTTCCAACGGATGACTGACAATGCTTAAAACAGACAGCAATAGGTCACCTTAGTTACAAGTGACTTGAGTGACCTAAGAATGAAACATTGTTTCAAAGGGTCATATTAAGGCACATGAAAATCATGGCATACATGTTTCTTGTTCTATTTGTAGGTCATTCTATCCGTCAGGCAATCAATGCTAGTTATTTTTTGAAAATGCTGCAACCACATCAGCAAACTTTCCAATAAAATTAGAATTTAGTTCAAATATCCATTCTAAGCTTTCAAGGCAAATAAAATGATGTTGAGCACCTGTTTTGTACTTTTTGCTTTTTAATTCAAACTTGGCATAAAGCATATCCTTGAGTAACTGGAATTTTTTAATTAGGAATTAAATAAGTGATTAATGTTTGCCGGTCTGTGTAAGACTTGTTGAGAATCCTCTTCTGGGAACATCAACAATTCGGTATTTTAATTTGTTAGCCTGCTCATACACAGAAACATACAAAATACTGAGCTGTTGAGATTCACTATTTTATTTGTACAAAACAAAAACATCTCCAAAACAATGCTTTACTAAAAGTATGGAAAATTGTCTGAAATATCAAACTCGCATCTACATAATTTTTCATATTTAACTCTTTTAGTCCATTAAGTCCATTTTTACATAAAATGTTAGCAATAGGTATCCCTCCAAACCGCCCACTGTACAAGTCCTTATACTAAACATCTACATTAGTCTTTCCATTGCATATATACATGTACACGACTACACGTATCATTCCTGCATTTTCTGATACCATCCAAAACTTTCAATCATTTATAACTCCTTCTGAATAACTGCTCAAACTTTGCATCTAATAAAATGAATAATGATAATGATATATACTGTATATTTGCGTTATGTTGGATTTTTGGGAATTAATTAATTTTTGTGAAAGACTATATATCCAACTTGTATGAGAGTCCTAGAAACATATGCGGGTCAATGGCAAATTCCTTCAAAATAATCTGAAAAAAAACACAATTTACTTATACATGTATATACAAGTATAATGGGTATATTATTAAAAAAGTATCCCTAGTAAAATGTTCCAATTCACTTTACATGATAAACACAAGAATATGCACATGAAAATGCATCATTTTTTGAAAGTTACAAAATAAAGGTAAAACAATATAGATTAAAATAATGCATCTGAATTCGATGCAAATTATTACCAAATAAAAGTATGTGTAAATTACAACACACCTAAAATAATGTCAATAGTATGTTCAGTAACAAAACTAATCTCATACAATATATGTACCTCATATGAAACATACCCAATTAACCAAAAAAAAATTTTCAATTACATGTAAATACATGTATAGTTCTTTGATAGTAAGGAATCAGAATAATCAACAAAAAAATCATATTCTGAGAACTCCACATTCTTTGTAACGTAATAAGTGGTGACACTCAATACAGTTTATGACAGGTTTTCATATTTACTGGAAGATAAAGTCTTCAAATTCAAGAACTTCTTTTTGGACTTCAATCTGAAAAAGTAAGAAAATTTTAATAAAGAGGTTTTTAAAGGTTTTGAACAAGCTCCCCATTTTTTTCCAACTCATTTCTCCCTTTATACCTAGGACCCCCCTCCCCTCCAATTTAGATTTTAATATTATTTTCAATTACTGTATAAACAGCTATATTTTGTTGCATTTTTTTTTTAATGAATTCAATGCTGCAGTAACAAAATGTAGATAATCAAAGATGACAAAGCTCAACAAACATAATCCACTGTACCTTGTTTTCCTGGTCTGTCCATGGAAACACCTCGTCCAGTGCCTGCTGTCATCAACCTTCCAGCACCACCCCTCATCACCTGATGTCCTCTGATACTCTGTCCTCTCCCAATCATGTTCAACGAATTGTTCATTTTTTCACTGCCATGCCGTACTGAATCTGCCCTCCCTCTGCCAACCCCTGTAATCCCCCGACCAACACCCATCCCCACACCCTCCAAGGAGGGCTGTTCCCCAGCTGTGGCTGACTGACCTCTGCCAACCCCTGTGGAGGATAAGGAAAAGGTGAACACAGTGTGTGGTTGTTGTTTGGTTGACTGTGGTTTGGGGACGTAGGTCTGGGGAGCTTTTTTAGGAATCCTTAACTCCCCCTCCTCCTCTTCTTCCTGGTTTGGATCACCTGTTGTCTGCTCTCCTGGTTTATCTGGATTTTTAAAGTACCTAAAATGACAATCAGAAAATAATTTTATTTTTATTACGATTGAGGTGGGTTTGAAAAAATTTGAAATTTTTGGTTACAATATCTTTCTTTTTTTTTTATTACTAAACACATGTATGTAGATATACCTTCTTTCCTCTGGTGGTAAAGCATATTGTGCCTTCATGTGTTTTTTCTCTGCTGATGTAAGTCTAGTTGAAAAAAAAAATCATTTTAAATATTTAAATGATCAGGGAAATTTATTTTTGAAAATGGCGTATTATCTAATAAAGCTTACCCTTGTAGTTGAATTCCTTCCATTTTGGCAAAAATATTTGGATCCACTCCAATACGAGGAAGAAGAGGAATTTCTAGAAATAAGAAAAATGTTAAGATAATGTATTAAAACAGGAATATTTTCCTTATAAAAAATCTTCTCATTTACATGTCCATTATTTATTTACGGTAAGTGATAATCATTATTTTTTTTTTTTTTTTTTTTTTTTGATATTTGATGTAGAATACAATAAATTAAATTCTGCATTCCAGAAGGCAGTGTGATTCTATATGATGAACTGATTGTACGAGTCTGACACCTTTCTCCCAGTCATCATCAGCCTTTAAGTCTATTTGACTGTACGTGGGTAACTTTGTACAACCAGTAAACAGTGTGCTTCCTTCCTTCTTCTGTGCATCTGATTTAAAAAAAAAAACCAATTTTAAAACAATGAGTAATAAAACACGAAAAAATATTTCCATCAGTCACTGACTTAATTCTATATTCAAACAAATTTTTAACTTGTAAATCAATGCTGTAACATTATATGGTGCATGTACACTATTGTAAATATATATATCCATGGGGTCATAATTCGGCTGAAGGACAGACTCTGTTCAATCCGCAGATAGAAAATTATGCAGATTTCTTGGATTGTCATAGGATTTCTTATATGTAGGTACTTTTAGTACGCTGTGACAAATTTTCACAGAAAAATTGTTGCTGTATAGATAGTAACAAAAAGAGAATCCCAAAAGGAAACTAGAAATATGTCCAACGGCCCCACCGAGGGTATATTAGTAATGCAACATGAAATTTTGTATTAGTGTACGAAATTAATGAGAATATCTTGAATAGTTTCTTTAAAATTGAAATCTAAAAAGTTGGATATAGATGATAAATTCTCACCAAATTATGTAAAAGTGCATAAGCTTACATAAATATATCTTAAATGATTTCTTTAAAACTTAGCAAAATGCAAATTTAAGAAAAGTGAGGTAAAGGTCACAGGAAAGTTCAAGATCAAATATTTTTGATGCAGTTGAATAGTTCTCACAAATACGTATCAGCATATTAAGTTTGATAAAAATATTTTGAATGGTTTATTTAAAACAGAGCTAAACATTTACTTAAAATAAATGAAGTTAAGGTCAAAGGAAAGGTCAAGGTCAAAAAATGTTGATGCAGTTGAAAAGCTTACATCAGTATGTATTAACATATGAAGTTTGATAAAAATATTATGAATGGTTTCTTTAAAACTGAGTTAAACACAAATTGAGAAAAGTAAGGTCAAGGTCAAAGGAAAGGTCAAGGTCAAAAAATGTTGTGCAATTGAATAGCTCTCATCAGTATGTATCAGCATATAAAGTTTGATTACACTGTTCTGAATAGTTTCTCAAAAACTGAGCTAAACACTAATTTAAGAAAAGTGAGGGCAAGGTCAAAGGAAAGGTTAAGGTCAAAAAATGTTGATGCAGTTGCATAGCTCTCATTGGGATGTATCAGCATATGAAGTTTGATAAAAATATCTTGAATTGTATCTTTAAAACTGAGCTAAACACTCATTTAAGAAAAGTGAGGTCAGGGTCAAAAGAAAGGTCAAGGTCAAAAAAATGTTGTTGCATATGAATAGTTTATATCAGTTTGTATCAACATATAAAGTTTGATTACACTACCTTGAATGGTATCTTTAAAACTGAGCAAACACTAATTTAGGAAAAGTGAGGTCAAGGTCAAAGGAAAGGTCAAGGTAAAAAAATGTTGATGCAGTTGCTTAGTTCTCATCAATATCTATCAGCATATGAAGTTTGAAAAAAATGTCATGGATAGTTTCTTTGAAATTGAGCTTTGAACTGAGCTCACTAGATGTTATCTTTAAGTAAACAAAATCTTTGAAATCACTTGCATGTATTTTGGTGGGGGTTTAATTTTCATTTTCCCCATGATATGAAAAGACCCACAAATTTATCTCCTCCACAAAGTGTTAACACTGTATTCAACTTACAACACTCATTCCTTCGGTCAGAAAATCAAATCCCCAGGAACCAGTATTTTTCCATCAAACCACAAAAGTTTGACCCCCCAAAAATTGTGATTTTTATTGTCATTCATTTAAGAAATAAGGTATCATTTTAAAACATCTATCAGGCTATAAATACGGGTTGTTCACGAGATCAAATTCCATAAAGCCCAAAGGGCTTTATGGTAAATTTGATCTCGTACCAACCCGTATTTATAGCCCTATAGATGTTTTAAAATGATACCTTATTACTTATATTTACATTTGTGATCTATTTATATTTTATATTTGTCTGTTTATAATCTTTAACGTCTGAAATGTTTTTATTTTTCAAACTCAATGGAACGTTTTTAATCCATTGATTGCGCATCGACCCTTTATGACGTCACTGAGAAATTACGTCGTGCGTTTATGACGCGAGGAACCTGTATTTATACGGATATAGATACGCATTGCTTTCAGTAGTGTTATTTACAGGAAAACATTTGCAAATGTAAATATATAAAAATGGATTCCAAAAAACATTTCTCATTATCTACATGTAAGTCTTCAGGTTGTGCATATAAAGAAGTTTTTGTATATACAATAAAAAAAGTCATATGTGCATCTTCTTAAATGACACATCAATCAACAGAAACATTTAAAATGTATACATGTACAACAATTTAATTCGCTTCATTGCTAAATTTGCCAGAAGAGTTAAAAAATATATTCAGTGATTTTCAGTGATTTTCATATTCACCAAAAGCGATATTCTGTTCCAGTCGTGGTTTATCTGGGCAGTTTTCCAGGTGGTACCGTAGCTCAGGTTTTGGCACCACATGAGTGGCATTCAAGGGACAGCTGGCATACTCTGAACATGGATGGTTCTACAAGCAGAATCTAAACATATATACCATAAATTCACCTTAATCACCAATATATGTACCATGAGTTTAGGTTGACCTTCTGATAAAAGAGATAACTATCACAGAAATAAATGACTTATTCCTTTTGAAATTTTCAAGTTAAATGGCCATTTCTGTCAAATTTTGCCCTGAAAACTTTGCTGAAATTGTGTTTATTTTAATTTTGAATAACATTTCTTTTTGTATGTAATGTAAAATTATTGTTGCAAAATTTCCTGAGTGAACAACTGCACCTAAATCTTTATGTAATTGTGAATTACATAATTATGTAGCATAAGTTACTTTTAAGTAAGATGAATAAATCTTTCAATTATGTACCATAATTCATACAATTACACCATTGTCGGATACCCTCAGGTGATCTTGTGATGAGTAAAAGATGAGATCACCCGTAGGTATCCGATGATGACAATGTACATCTGAAGAACATAAATCCTCTAGAAAACAACAAACCCACTACCTATACTACATGTAAATGAAATATATACAACTTATAGTTCATCCAATGATAATACAGTAAAACTTTAAAAATTTATCTTCGAGTTCAATAGTTTTCCTATGAAATGGGTTTCAAATATAAAAAATACTCACAAACTAATGCCAGTTCAATATTTCAAAAATTTAGATCTTTAAAAATTCGTTATAAAAGATGCACATTTCCTTATTTTTAACCTCTAGGGGACACAAAATCAGTTCGCTATAACCGTAAATTCGCTATATCTTAATTCATAATTGTATCCATAAATTTCATGAGGAATTGTTTAAAATTTTTCCAGTTATTGCAAAAAAATTTACGATATCCATAAATTCACTATTATAATATATATCCATGTTCACACTAAACGAGATTTACTGTACATGTATTGCAAAACGTTTATAATGAAGTGCCAGGGACAGACAATTTCGCTTTGTTATAAACATAATTCGTTATATCCATTAAGTTTTACAATATATTTTAAAGCCACAGGAAATGAAAATCACTTAGCTGTATTTAGCATCCATTCGTTATAAGCAAGTTCACTATAAGCGTGTTATACTGTAAACATTTAAGGCACATTTAAAAAAAAAATCTTATGTAGATGTATAGCAAATATTTGTTTCTAACCCTATCTCATACCAGTAATTTCCGGATTATGTTACCTTGTTTAATAATTTATTAGTTTAGTACTGTAAAATCACTCATTTCTTGAGGTGAAATTTTCATGGTTTGAGGGGAAATGTGGGTTTGAGGGGATTTGATTTTGTGGTTTCATAAGTGTTCAATAACTTTTATATTCTGTAAAACTTCCCAATGCATATTATATTGTAATAAATCAAGCATGTACCTCTACTATAATTATAATTAACATGTCTCTGATACATATTTTTACATAGAAAAGCTCTATTAAATTTGACTGACCCTCCTGCATCTGATGAGGTGATATGGCATGCGCTTGGCTCTTATCATTTCACATTTGTTGTATGGGCAGGGGATCTCTTGCTCAGGATCATATATTTTGTACTGCGCCATTTAGGATGTATACGTCTGTAATTTAAGCAATAAGGAATGAATCATTAGTATTAATATAAATAAAGTGAAGATGCGGTTTTTAAAATAATATTTTGCTGCAGATTCTGCAGAAGTTAAAAACACAAGGCTGTATTTTTTCCCAATAATTTACACGTATCTAGTTTTGACTATTATCAAAACTTGCAAACCTCACCTCTAAAAATGACATTTACATGTATTGTAATAAATTACTGTTCATTTTGATGCATTAGTTCAATTCCTCATTCAATGAATGCTGTTTACTTACAATAAAAGGTCCATGGGCTATAATGCTCACCTGGATCACCTTGATCCTGCTGTTGTTCAGATTTTGCTTTTCTTCAGAGGAAAAGTTTTAATTTTTTTTCTCCTTTTATATTATTATGTAAAATTTTCATCCCCTACTGTAGCCCCACCCTACCCTAAGTGGCCAAGATTTGAATAAATTTGAATCTTCACTACCCAAGGATGTCCTCATATAACTTATTATGGCCTAGTTGTTATAGCAAAGATTTTAAAAATTTTTCTTTCTTTTTTCTCAAGTATTTCCATTTAAATTTAATCCCCACTCTACCTCAAAATATCATATGATCTGAACAAATTTAAATCTGCATTTCCTGAAAATGCTTGTATATTATTATGACATATAAGGCCAAACTTGTTAAGAAAAAACTTGTTGAGAAAAGGTTTACTAAATATTCCTATGTAAAACTTTTATCCCCTATTTGTGGCCCCATCCTACCCCTGGGAGCCTTGATTACACAACCTTGGAATCTTCACCAAGTGAGAATGCTTGTATATCAATACAACTAACCATGACACTTCTTTTTCTTAAGAAGATTCAAAAGTTTTTTTTTTCTATATATATTTCCATGTAAAACTTTGATCTTCCATTGAGCCCCTCTTTGGCTCAGGTGAGGTAAACAAGAGGCCCATGGGCCACATCGCTCACCTGAGTAACTTTGGCCATGCTGTTCTTTACCAGATTTCTTCCCTTGTAATACCTACTGTGGCCCCGCCCTACCCCCAGGGGTCATAATTTGAATAATTTACAATCTACACTATCCGAGGATGCTCACATAAGTTTCAGCTTTTCTGGCCCAGTGGTTCTTGAGAAGAAGATTTTTAAAGATGTTTCCTATATATTTCAATGTAAAACTTGGATTCCCTATTGTAGCCCCGCCTACCCCCGGGGGTCATGATTTTAACAATTTAGAATCTACACTACTTGAGGATGCTTCCATATAAGTTTCAGCTTCTTTGGCCCAGTGGTTCTTGAGAAGAAGATTTTTCCTATATATTTCAATGTTAAACTTGGATTCCCTATTGTGGCCCTGCCCTATCCCCGGGGTCATGATTTTAACAATTTAGAATCTAAACAACTAGAGGATGCTTCCACATAAGTTTCAGCTTTTCTGGTCCAGTGGTTCTTGAGAAGAAGATTTTTAAAGATTTTTCCTTTATATTTCAATGTAAAACTTGGATTCCCTATTGTGGCCCCGCCCTACCCCCGGGGTTCAAGATTTTAACAATTTAGAATCTACACTACTTGAGGATGCTTCCACATAAGTTTCAGCTTTTTTGGCCCAGTGGTTCTTGAGAAGAAGATTTTTAAAGATTTTTCTTATATATTTCAATGTAAAACTTGGATTCCCTATTGTGGTCCCGCACTACCCCCAGGGGTCATGATTTGAACAATTTACATTCTACACTATCCGAGGATGCTTCCACATAAGTTTCAGCTTTTCTGGCCCAGTGGTTCTTGAGAAGAAGATTTTTAAAGATTTTTCCTTTATATTTCAATGTAAAACTTGGATTCCCTATTGTGGCCCCGCCCTACCCCCGGGGGTCATGATTTGAACAATTTAGAATCTACACTATTTGAGGATGCTTCCACATAAGTTTCAGCTTTTCTGGCCCAGTGGTTCTTGAGAAGAAGATTAAGATTTTTCTTACATATTTCAATGTAAAACTTGGATTTCCTATTGTGGTCCCGCCCTACCTCAGGGGGTCATGATTTTAACAATTTAGAATCTACACTATCCCAGAATGCTTCCATATAAGTTTCAGCTTTTCTGGCCCAGTGGTTCGTGAGAAGAAGATTTTTTAATGATCCCACCCTATTTTTATCTTTTCTTGATTGTCTCCCCTTGTAAGGGAACTTGGCCCTTTATTTTAACAATTTAAACTCCCCTTTGCCCAAGGATACTTTGTGCCAAGTTTGGTTAAAATTGGCCCAGTGGTTCTTGAGAAGAAGTTGAAAATGTGAAAAGTTTACAGACGGACGGACGGACAGCTAGACAGACGGACGGACAATGGACAATGGGTGATCAGAAAAGCTCACTTGAGCTTTCAGCTCAGGTGAGCTAAAAAGGGACCCCCCCCCAACAAGCTAATAAACACACAATAGTTATTTAACTAGTTTTGACAATCTTTTCTTTCTTTTTTTTTTTAAATTAATGCTTCATCCCTTTCATTTTTTTTTCACTTTCACTCACAGAATATTATGTACCTCAGATCGATGAATTTACACGTAGCATCTGATAACACAATCTATCATCATGCACATAGTAGAAGGTTATGGGGGGGGGGGGGGGGTGCCCTTCCTTTTCTTCTTGAACATAATCTTTTACTGTTCATTTAATATGAATGTGCTATTTTTTTCTGGCTTCCTTTCCCCATTCCTTTGTAACAGCATTAATTTCTATGCAAAATTGTTAATTTACAAAGTAATCATTTTTTGGCTAAAATTTTACCGTGTTCATAATCATTGTGACTGTATCAAGAAATTCGATTGGTACTCACCATGTTGCGCCATTCTGCCGTTTGGCCACAAAATGCAAGTAATACAAAAAGTAGGTAAAAATAGCTACATTGAGAAGGTTTAAATACCTGTATGTAGCTATTAATAGCTACCTAAGTCGAAATAGTCTGTGGACTGGACCTGTTAAAAACTTCTAAATCATCATTTATGTTTTAATTTAAATCCTCGTATTCAGACAGGCATTAACCCTTTAACCCCCAGAGACGCATTTGGACGCATTTTCACCATCACAGATATTACATTGTTGGTGTTTTCTAAATATTCGAGTTATAACAAAACAATTTATATTTTCTGAAACTAGAGAAGAAACTAAACATTTTTTTACTTAAAGTTTTTCTGTCCCTTGTTAAGAAATTATCATAAACTTGAAGTTAATATTGCACATCCTTGAAGGAAGTTGATAAAATTACACATAAATGACCGATTTTGTGCTATCTTCTGTTGGCTTTATCTTAGTTACAACACAAAATAAAACAATAAAGTGCCCCGCCACAGCATGATACGCCCGTCAAATATTGTTCAATTGTCATAAACAGTATAGAATGCAAGAAAATCATGTCTACCTTGATACAAGGATTTGAAGGATTTTTCCATTCCTTATAATATTCGTTTATACATCTCCTGTGGTTTAGACATTAATTATAACAAATATTACATTATAGATCCTCAACTGGTTGTGTTAGAGCTTGACAAATGCCCATCTGCACCCCCCCCCCCCCCCAGCTTTCAGATTTGTGAGACATGATGCTCTGAATTAGTTGATATTTTCAAAAAAATCAATAAAAATATCATATTACACAATATCAATTTAGTCTTAACAACTTTATCTATTTCAAATTAATATTAAAAATAAAAGGCTGACCATCAAATGACATATGCTATAAACTGACAAGCAGTTCTTCTGTCTAATTCCCAAAGGATACAGATAAGAGCTGCTTGATCAGAGATCCTCTAACAGAAATGATTGAGACAGCTAGCCTCCCTACACTGAACTCATTAATTAATCTAACTGGATGCATGTCCACTCATTACTCCCAACAGATGAATGGATCTATACATGCTATCTGCTTTGTAGTGCAATAAAAATGCATATTTATGTCATTCTGAAATTAAATTTGAAAACAAAGATCTTTTTTATAATTTGTTGAAAAGATTTATAAAAGGAAACAAAAAACTTGTGTAATCTTGATGTTCATCTTCATTTTTAATAAGGTTCCAGCATTACTCTCAGATTTGTAGGGACTATCTACCATAATTAAAACTTTTTTTTTTAAAATACTTGATTTTTTTAGATTTAATGTCAGACTGGTTTTAAGCTGCAATTCATACGAACAACAGGCATGCTGATTCCAATATCACCCCCCTCCCTAGTATAATTAGTTTTAATTAATTTAAAATTATACAATATCAAATTAGTTTATTATACAATATCAAATTAATTTATCATACAAAATCAAATAAGTTTTAATCACTTTTCACAAAATTCATTTTAAAAGTTAGGCTAGCCAACAATTTAATCCAACTTGGCTGATTCTTTTTGCCCAGTTCCCAAGAGATATAGATAACACCTGCTTGATCAGAGATGCTCTACCAGTTAGCTCCTCACACTAAACGCATTAATTTCTCTCTTATTTGATGTGCAATTTTCTGTTATCAAATTCTCCTTGACCAGTGCTTGATAATTACACCCATGGGAGAGGTGGAATTTCTCTTATAACATTACAATTGTTACAGATTGCTGTAAAGTATATAATGAAAAAATAAGTATTTTCTTGATTTAACATTTTTTTTTAATAAGGATACTGCAACACTCTTGCATTTTTGGGGATTGTGTAATCTAATAGTAAAAAGACAGTTTTTTTTAAAATTTCACTTAAATTAAAGGTCACAGTGACCTTGAAATAGGTCGCGACACACCTTCTACCTAAGATGCATAAATTGGCCAAGTTTGATGATTCTAAGTCCAATAGTTTTCTAGTTATGTGCCGGACAGGATTTTTCCATATTTGGCCATAGCATCTTAATTAAAGGTCAGAGCGACCTACTTCAAATATGCGACACACCTTCTACCCAAGAAGTATCAGTTGACAAAGTTTGATAATCCTAGGCCTAATAGTATTAAAGTTATGAGCCAGACACGAAAAAGCTAACAGACGGACGGACGGACGGACAT